CTATAAACCTGGGTCAGGTTGTAAGAGTGGTTTGCTATGCAGAAATAGGAAAACATGGAAAGCCCTGGGTCGAGAGCCAGTTGTGTCTCATCAATGCCATACTCAATGCTTAACTCCTGTGATAGGGTGATGATGTGGGGGCTGTATCTTGCCAGCCTCTTGACTGGGGAAATAAGAGCCTGAATTTGGAAGTCTTTTTTTTTTAATTTGGAAATTTTGACTAGGGTCAGCAAAGCAAGCTTGATATATTCCTCAGAATAGTCTCAAAAAAAGAAAAAAGGTTCGATGCTTTGATGATGGGAACTTCATGTGGTTATGTCTGGATTCCAGATACCCCTGGCTTCCTCTGTAACCTGCATGCAGAACCTGATAATGTATCTGTAGCCATTTTTGTGTTGTTCACACTGCTTTTCCTTTAATTGAGCTCCGAAAGCCCCATCCCCATTTTTTCTTCTGTAAGCTGTCATCTTTTTTTTTACTCTGGCAGTTTCAGTAATAGTTTATTGGTGTCTAAATTCCTGTACCAACCTGAAATTTATGTTCTTCATAGAGTATGCTGGTTTTTGCCAGGTACCTTTCTAAGGCTTTTTCCCTCATAGTTTTTCATTTGTCCTCATATTTTTCCTTGTTGCCTTCTTTCAGCCTGTGAATGTACCAAGACCTAGAGGTCAGCAGTTCAATGTCAAGGGTTGCTTATGTGTTAGGAGGGTTGTCCTAACTTAGAACCATTTTATTTGTGAGAAATATTTTATCTCAAATCTAAAATTTTTTTTAAAAATCTTAAATGTTTCTGTTATATTCTAAGGGAAATGACAGGCACTTTATTGACATTCTTACAAATATATTGCAAATTTGTGAATATATTTGTAAATCAGTGCAAATACTTTGTTTTGCATATCATGCAAGTGAAGCCCATAGCAAAGTGCTTAAGGTTGTCTGAGATGTACCATACTCAGACCTTCAGGGAGCTCATAAAATTTTGCTGACGGGAGCTGACCAAAGGAGGGTATGGATCTGAAATTTAGGTGTGGATGGTTGGAAATAAATTAGGCTGAGTAACTTGAAGTATTTTAAACTCCAGTTAAGGAGTAAGAAATGTCTTGTGGGCTTTTCTTTGGAGGGAAGCATAAGAAGGGCTGTTTCAGGGGCTGGGGAGATGGCTCAGTAGAATAAGCGCTTCCCTGCTAAGCGCAAGGGCCTGAGTTCAATCCCTGGTTCTGCAAAAAAAAAAAAAAAAAAAAGAAGGGCCATTTCTCTTGCTGATGCTGAGGGGATGGGGAGTGGGGACATGGAGTGGTAGCAGGAGGATGCTTGCTTAGGTGAACTGAGAGCCCCCTTATCCCTTTCTTACCTGCCAAGCTTTCTAGATGTTCTGGGTTTCACAGAGTTGGTGGTTGGGCTCAGGGACTGGTTTTAAAAAGGAAAAGCAAACAAGCCAAGGCTGGTGGCACACTTGTATAGTCCCAGCTGCTTGGGAAGCTGAGGCAGGATTGCTTGAGTCCAGGAATTTGGGACCACCCAGGGCATTGGAGTGAGAGTCTGTCTCATAAAAAAAATACAGTAAAATAACAAAACAACCCCCTTATAGTTATCCATCAGAATCTGTCCAGAATCCATGGGTGCTCAAGTCTCTTGTATAGTATTTGCATATAACTCATGCACATCCTCCCATTTCCCTTAAATCATAGAAAGATTATTAATATGTAATATAATGCAAATGCTATGTAAATAATTACTGCATTAGGGAAGAATGACAAAGGGGAATGTCTATACCTGTTTAGTACAGTACAATCTTTTTCTTTCCTTTTTTTTTTTTTTTTTTTTTTTTTTGGCAGAGCTGGGGATCGAACTCAGGCCCATGTGCTTGCCAGGCAAGCGCTTGTTCTACTGAGCTATCTGCCTGTCCCCTTATATTTTTGATCATTGATCATGGAGGTCTTGACTGCAGGGGCTATCTATATGCTGATAGTTGGAGCTGTTGAGCAATAGTGATAGCTATCTATCTATATTTATTGGGTGTGGGAATCCAACTCAGGACCTTGCATTTCTCAGGCAGGTGCTGTGCTGCTGAGCTGTATCCCCAGCCCTGAGCAATAGTGAATACAAGTCAGTAGATTAAGATTTACTAATAGACTAAAAGACAAAAGAAGGGCACACAGTGGTACACACGTGTAATCCCAGCACTCTTGAAATCTGAAGCAAGAGGAACAGGATCACAAGTTGGAGTCCCACCTAGGCAATTTAGTAAGTTCATTAATCAGAATTAAAGAAAAAAAAAAAAAAACTGAGGAGATAGCCCAGTGGTAGAGTGGCCCTGATTTGTATAATGATAATAGTAATAATATACCAATAATAATAACAACAATCACAAAATAGCTGTGAATTCCTGTTGATCTGATGGAATGGCCCAGCATGTAGTTTCACAGCATTCTCTGCATGAAAATACTCTTCCACTTAGATATTTGTTATAACCCAGTGAACTTAAAAAATCCACTTCTATTTTTAAAAGGTAAATACTGCTGTTGATTAAAATAGACAAGTTTGTTTTAGAGTTGGAGAAAACTAGTTGCCATTGGAATCCCACAGCCTTGGATTTCAGCTCTGCCCTGATTTCTCTGATGTGTTACCTTAAGTATAAAATGAGAATAAACCTGAGGATTAAGTTCCCTGTTGTCTCACAGACCTGATAAGAAAATCCTTCTGGTCTTCATAGGATATTGTATAGTATATTGATTGCTGTTTTAGCCTTTTGATGTCAGGTTTGGCTGAATAGCTCCTGTGAGGTCGCCCGTTTCAGTAGTATTAGAATCTGGGAGGTGTTTCTAACAGTCATGTCCTTACTCTTTGTTATTGTGTTGCCTACAGCCTGAAATTCTTTCATAATTTGCTGAAATGTCATTTCTTTTTCTTTTTACCATACACAGTTGAGATCTTGACAGACATACTCATCCACGAAGCCCTTATGCAGATCAGTGTATGCACAATACATTTGGTACCCAGAAAGTGCCTCCTGGCCTTTGCCGAACCCCTAGCGCTTATTGCCTTTGGATGTGGGGGGCAATGGCTCACTTTTATCTACGCTCTTTTTCTGCCCACACAGATTTATTGAACATAAAACTACGAACAAATTGACCTAGAGCTGCCTCAAAATGTGATCTTTTCCTATTAATATCCTGATAGGATGGTTAGAAAACAAATTCCTCTAAAATACAGTGGTCTCTCCCTTACCCTGGAGGTTATGTTCCAGACACTCCCATGATAAGCGAAAATCAGCATAGTGATGTTATATTTATTTTAGTATTTATATATATATTTTAAGGCTTTATAAACTCTTCCCACACTTTTAAAAATACTTCTAATGTTCTTAGCCATTTTCTAAACTCGTAAGCCTACGTAATTTTAGCAACATATGTATACTGTATAGTACTGCAAAATCCCAAATCTGTGATAAATAATTCAGAATGATATTTTTTGAAGACCCGTAAAACAGTCTGCAAAATAGCGAGGGACTCCTGTAAATTGTAAAATGCTCAGTGTACATCAGATGAATGGTCTAACTGGAACTGTGTTGGTTTTATAAGAAATTTGACACGTAGGACTGAATCCCTAAAGAAGGAAGGCTGTGGAGAAGCCACTGGGAGTCATTAAGCCACCATTTCTTGTGCTGCCATCCAATGGCATCACATCTCTTGATGAGTCCAGACTCTGCAGGAGGTCTGAGGGCAGCTAGGACTCGTTTAGCCACACAGATACTCCCAGCATGCTCATCTGTCAGGGTCCCGCTGCAACCTAGATTAAGAAGGGATGGATTCTTCATTGCGTCCTTCAAGTGCTGCTCTCAAGTCCCCTCCGTCCTACCACTGCCCAGTCTGGCCTAGGACCCGGGAGCCTGTTGAGCCCTCCACTGTCCTGCCTCAGGCACATGACAAGCTAATTTTGCCTACTCTTGAAGCTAATGTAAATTGCAATTTGGAGTTTGGTTGTAACATATTGCTGATAATAACAATTTTTCTTTTCAGTCCTGGTGAGCAGTCCGTTGTGAATACACAAAAATTAAGTGACCATTCTTCTGTTGTTCGCAGATTTTGGTTATTAGGATAAAGCTGTTAAAAGTCTCTCTCTGAATACACAGGGGGGTTAATGTTGTCTTTGCTTCCTAGCCCTGCACACTGAGTAAGCATCTTTACGTCCTCTTCCTTAGTTTCCTCATCTATAAAATAGAGAGTTGCAAAATAATTCAGGTTTAAAACTAGCAATTTTTGGGGCTGGAGAGATGGCTCAGTGGTCTAAAGCACCTACTTGAAACAAGCTTGGCAAAGCACAGGGACCGCGGTTCGATCCCCAGCACCACATGCCAGCCAGACCCGCCCCCTGGTGGGCTGAGCTGGCCACACACACAATAAATAAATGTAATAAATAAAAATAAATAAATATTTAAAAAAAAATAAAACTAGCAATTTTTAAAAATGAAATATAATAGGCCTAGAGTAAATGACATGCAGCTGTTTGATGTGACACTTGTACTGTGTTATGTGTATGCATGTGCATAGATTGATTGGATCACACTATAAAACACATTTTTTATTATGAATTGTAAGCAAATCAGTCTGCAAAATACTAATTTGGAGGTATCTTTGTAAGTGAAGAAGTTTAACTTTCGTGAGGTTATTTAGTAATCCTTGCCTCAGTTCCTCAGGAGTCTAAAGCATCAGTGCTGTTAGCTGTTATTTGCCAGGCACAATTTTAAAAGCATTGTATAAAATAACATTTATCCTAGCCACTGTAGGAAGTGGGTTTGCCTAACTTTGTAAATGGAACAAGTGAGACCATTTATCAGTTATACCACTTGAAAGATAGCAAAGCTAGAGAAGGACCATGATTTGAACCAGAACCAACAAGACTAAAGTCCTTGCTCTAATCTCTTTTTGGAGAGACAAAAAAGCAAGTAAAAAGTATATGTGAATGCCAATAAGTAATTATGTAATTTTTTTTTATTCCAGATATGAGAAATGAGTGTTGGACGTCGAAGAATAAAGTTGTTGGGTATCCTGATGATGGCAAATGTCTTCATTTATTTGATTGTGGAAGTCTCCAAAAGCAGTAGCCAAGAAAAAAATGGAAAAGGGGAAGTAATAGTACCCAAAGAAAAGTTCTGGAAAGTCTCTAGTCCTCCACAGGCATACTGGAACAGAGAACAAGAAAAGCTGAACAAGCGGTACAATCCCATTTTGAGCATGCTGGCCAATCAGACAGGGGATGGCTGTGGGCCTTCAAATATAAGCCATCTAAATTACTGTGAACCTGACCTGAGGGTCCCCTCACTTATAACGGATTTTGACAATTTACCAGACAGATTTAAAGACTTTCTGCTATATTTGAGATGTCGAAATTATTCACTGATTATAGATCAACCAAACAAATGTGCAAAGAAACCCTTCTTATTGCTGGCAATTAAGTCCCTCACTCCACATTTTGCCAGAAGGCAAGCAATTCGGGAATCCTGGGGCAGAGAAACCAATGTGGGGAATCAGACTGTGGTGCGCGTCTTCTTGCTGGGCCAGACCCCCCCAGAGGACAACCATCCAGACCTTTCAGATATGCTGAAATTCGAGAGTGAGAAGCACCAGGACATTCTTATATGGAACTACAGGGACACTTCCTTCAACTTATCTCTGAAGGAAGTGCTGTTTCTCAGGTGGGTGAGCACTTCCTGCCCAGATGCGGAGTTTGTTTTCAAGGGCGATGATGATGTTTTTGTGAATACCCATCACATCCTAAATTACTTGAATAGCTTATCCAAGAGCAAAGCTGAAGATTTGTTTATAGGTGATGTGATCCACAATGCTGGGCCCCACCGGGATAAGAAACTGAAGTACTACATCCCAGAAGTTGTTTATTCTGGGGTGTACCCACCTTACGCAGGGGGTGGTGGCTTCCTCTACTCCGGCCACTTGGCTCTGAGGCTGTACAGTGTCACTGACCGGGTCCATCTTTACCCCATCGATGATGTTTATACTGGAATGTGCCTTCAGAAACTCGGCCTTGTTCCAGAAAAACACAAAGGCTTTAGGACATTTGATATCGAAGAGAAAAACAGGAATAACATTTGTTCCTACATAGATTTGATGTTAGTGCATAGTAGAAAACCTCAAGAGATGATTGATATTTGGTTGAGGTTGCAAAGTGCTCATTTAAAATGCTAAAATATATACAAGCTAAATTTTGCATAGAAAGGCCTATGTGGACTAGTTTCCATATTGTATTTTCACATTAGGTAATTTGTATGTTAAACCATCAGAATTGCCTTTATAAGTAGTATCCATTTGAAGGCCTCCGAGCCCTTCAATTTGGTACTTTTGTGATGAGGGAAAGCAGATGACAATTTTTATGGAGGATATGGCAGGAGATTGATTCTAATCTTTTCTACGGGCCTAGTGGTCATTATTTTCTAATTTGTGCTCTATTCTCATCTGAATCATGTTTCTACAATTTGACTATTTAAGGTTTTTTTTGTTTGTTCTATGTGAGAATGTTCCTACTTCCATTATAGTAATTGATTTATCTGTAATTCAAGGTTTTATGAATTTATCAGCTACCAACAATTTTTTTGTTCATGACTTGGTTTTTGTGAAATGGAATTACATTGTTTTTATGAGATGTGGATACATTTTAAAACTTGTTTAGAAAATGGACTTCTGCCACCCTGTCAGTATTTTGTTGTGTTACTATAATTAGTTAATTCTATAAAATAATTATTACTGTAAGACATATCAAGTTTGTCTTGTGGTTTATGGTCATGAAAAGCAGTTAAATTTTTCTTATAGATGGTGTCACAATAGTTACATAATTTTAGTATTTTGAAATTAAGAAGTGTGATTCCATATTGGCCAACCGAGGACTGCATCTCCTCTGACAACCGTTCATATAAATTTATAAATTTTCAAGTGTGTGTCAGGAAAGTGTATCTTACTTTCGAACTTGAAGTGCAAAAATGGAAGTTGCAGATGCTTTAAGTGGTTTGTCAATTTAAAACTCCAGGATTCTATTCTTGCCATATTTTCATGTTGCTTATACAAAACTATTCTAGGTAGTGATCGCTTCCCTGTCGCAGTGTAGAAGTGCCTGTGTTTTTATTTATTGTTCAGATCAAAGACCAAAACATTTTCTTAAATATATTTTGTGTAATATTTTATTTGTATACAGTGTTGTTGATGGAATATTTAACTAGAGCATGATATTTTAAATGCTAAGATGTAACATATGTTAAATAAAGCTAATGGTTATTTTTGAATTTTAAAATTTGTTTTTTGGTTGTATGAAGTAGTTGATAAATTCTGCCAAACTATTGCTTATATGTACTATCATGTAACATGCTTTCTTGAAATATTTTTTGTGTTTTTAGAGATGAAGATTCCTATCAAATACAATATTGGGGAAAGTAAAAAGTGAAAATAAAGTAATTGTATTTTTAATTGTCATGTGTAATAATCTTTTGTTTTCCTATATTTGATTACATTTTCCTGAATCTATTTTCCCTCATATCCATTGCAGTCATATTGAAGGATAAATTTTCAGTTTTAATGGGTCATTCATTCCGCTTTACTTTTAAAATCTCAAAAGTACCTGGGTCTTTGAGAAGTGTGAATATTTATGTTTCTGTTTCCACTGAATAGAAACTGTCTAGGGAAGAGTACAGCATTGCAGTGACTGTGTAATCCTCGGGCTTTTCCAGTTTGGGGTTTGTACCCACAGTGATGAAATACAGAGACAGCCCTTACCACCCAAGTTTCTTTCATAGATGACATGTGGAAAAGAAATTGCCAGCGTTCAGTTAGAAACAAGTAGACACTTGATGAAGTACAAAACAGACTAGTGTTGTGAGGAGATGTAGGAAACTGCCCTCTCCTGCTTGGCAGCGTGTGGAGGCCATTTATAAGAAAGTGTGAATTCAGAGACCTGACGTAGGTTGGAGGACTGTTGTACACCTGGATCTAAACGTTTTGTGGGGCCTGCGTCAGACTTTAGCATATCTCCCAAAAGGCCACTTGGCCATATTAGGATTAGAGAAGAGTAAAGAAGCTCCAAGAACATCCACAGATAATTTTTCTCAATTGTATAATTGAACCAATCTAGCTTGACCATGCAATCTCCATAATTTCTCCTCTGAGGGGAATTTTCTTTATTTTTTCTTTTTAGGCTTTCTCCTTCCTTGAGAAAAGCAACACAACACATTTGGAGGCTCACTGGGGCCATTGTGAGTTCGGGTGCACAGTTGTTCTATTGTTTAAACATAGAAAATGTTTTTTGTGGCTACACGCAAGTCTTGATTTTTTTAGTTTGATGGTCAAACTCCTCCAAATCCTGTTGTCAGGATTTGACTTTTCATAAACCCAAGCAACCCTTGAAAGAAGTAAAAAGAGACAGGAGCTTATTCCTCTCTCTGACCTTCGTTATACCCATCTACTTCCCTGAGTTACTCAAGAGAGCCTGAAGACAGACAGCAAGTTGAGGGAATACAGGATTACATTTGAAAACTAGCCTTAAAGATGTCTTCCTTCTTTTTCATTTGTGATCAGTATCCACTTTTTAATCAAACTCTGGACCTTGTGCATACAAGTCAGATGCTTATGCCACTGAGCTGTCTCCCTGGCCCTAAATAGTTCTTGACATATTGTACAGACCATTTTACCACTTCTGGGAGTGGCTCCTTTTGAATGCCCATGCTAAGAGCTCAGGATTTACAAGTCTTCAAATACGATGAAGCATCTCTGTTTCAGTATTTTTATCTGATAGTTCCAAGGTAAAACAAGCTGTCTGGTCATCTGGCTAGGACATCCTGACCCTCTTCAAACTTGACATGCTGGCTTTTTGACTTTGCATCTATCCTGCCCCTGTTGAGTGCTGGCCTCAAACACAGCCTTTGGCCATTTAGGTTTTCTGAGGACTGCAGTGCATTCTGGGAATGCAAAACACTTGTGCAGTTTATTTTTTTAAATCTTATGTAGAACGATGGAGGCCTGGTCAGGTGTGCTTCTTCCTTCTCTGTCACTGTGATCTGTGTTTGGGAATTTTCTTCCCAAGCAGCTTGGTGGGGAGGGGTTAGCTGTAGCAGTTCCTTTCTGTTGTGGCTTCGTGAAGGGATATATGATATTTACATTGAAGCACCAAAGTTAGAGGTTTTAATTTTATTATAATTGAAATGGAATAAGATGCTCGTAGCTTCCAATCGCTGCCCTACACGGGGGGGGGGGGGGCCTTCATTCTGCTCAAGCAGTAAATTGCTAAGCAGCCTTGGCCAGGGCTCACCTCACTCCCGGGAACTTGTGATTGCCCTTTCCCAACCTGTCACTGAACATTGTCCTTCGTGCTCACCACCTGGATTGGGTTCTCTAACCATTCAGCTGAAGAACCCTGATCAAGAACACCAACTTCCGCGGCTGGGGAGGTGGCTCAGTAGTATAAGCCCTTGCCTGGCAAGCACAAGGGTCTGAGTTCAATCCCCGGTTCCACCAAAAAAAAAAAAAAAAAAAAAAACAACTTCCATCACCCCCTCTTTCAGAGCATGCCAAAAAAATGCAAAATAGGAAACATGCTACCCTTAGTGCTTAGTGTGAGCTCTTCCAGAAACACACTTCTAATGTAAGTGTTCAAGTGCAAATTATGTTTTGTTTGCCTAGCGTGTGGGCACATCATTCAGTCCCTAGCACCTCCAAAAACAAAATTTTTTTGTGGTGGTGATTTTTAGTAGATCTTAAGTAGCAACCTTCATGATCCACTGCAAGACCAATTTGGTATTTAGCTTTCTATAGAGATGTTTATTTTACCCATCTTTTTTCTTCTTAAAAATATCCTCAAGCTGGATGTGATGGCACAAATCCCAGCTACTTGGTAGGCTGAGGAGAAAGACCATAAGTTTGAGGCCAGTCTGGTGAATTTAGAGAGCATCTGTGAGTTTGATCCTCAATACTAAAATAAATCCAAAACAAATGTCTGTTTTCTGATTATACCTCTTCCCACAGAAGCCTATACTTCATGCAGGCTTTTTTTTTTTTTTTTTTTTTGCAGAACCGGGGATTGAACTCATGTCCTTACACTTGCCAGCCAAGTGCTTATTTTACTGAGCCATCTCCCCAGCCCCATGCAGCCTTCTTAATTAGAACCGAAACTTTTCATAAATTATTTTTATTTTATTTTATTTTTATTTTTTTGGCAGAACCAGGGAATGAACTCTGGGCTCTTACACTTGCCAGGCAAGCACTTATTCTACAAATTATTCTGAAGGAAGGACTACATGCACACTTTGGAATCGAGCAGGGCCCCGGGCCCCAGATGTCTGCGCTCCGAGGGTATTTGGGGCGTTCCACTCTGCGTCTCCTCCCCACTGGAATCCCGTCTCTGCCCGGTTCAGGGACTGCTCCTGAGTCGGTAACTACCGGAGCTCCTGCTCAGCCCAACCGCACCCGCATGTGCACATGTGAGGGGGTGGGGGCGGGGTGCACGCCAGCCCCCAGGTGCTTGCCCCCACTGTCTCCTTGAAACTGGGAGCCTCTCTGGAGCTCCCTTGGGAAGGCTGCCCCCACATCCTCCACAGCCTTGTTCTGTTCATGCTCTGGCTTGTGATTTCTCCGTATCTTTCAAAAATAAAATCTTTTGTTGATGGTACCATCTTCATTGGTGGTGCCACCGCAGGCCTTTGTTATCTGCACACTGTTGAATAGTAATTTTAATGAGGAGGCAAACCACTAGGCTCACCTGGGAGCCCCCACTTTATTTCCTGTCATTCCTGCCATGCCCACTCCAGTTCAAGATACTGCCTGCCAGAGGACAGAGTGCCTGTTGTCTGGGTTCTTCAGCTCCTGACCAAAGCTGTATCTGGCTCGTTAGTCCTATCCACATCCTGTCCTGGTCCTGAGCACTTCTCAGGGCCTCTCCCTTAACTCCTTCCTCGATCTGCATGGTCCTCTCTGCAGGCAACTAACCCCAGCGTTTCCATCTTTCCAAGGTCAATCCTCTGTCTCAGTTTTCCTTACTGAGGTGCTTTTAGCTTTTCAGTGAAAAACTTCCCAACCCCCAGTGCCTCCAGGCCCAACTCTGTGACCTAATCCTCCCTGGCAGGGGTCTGGAGAACTAGCTCCCTCCAGTCAGCTCTGGCTTCTCAGAGCCTGCCTGCTTGCTTCTCTTTGAGACAAAAAGTCCTGGAATTACTGTCAAACCCAGCAGATGGCCTCCTGTCCCTGTCCCCGCCTGGCAGAACGGTCTCCTTGTGAGGTCCCAGGCCTAGCTAGGAGAGGCCCTCTTGGTAAGGAATGGATTTATGGTATCTTCAATGTATTTCTGCCAATTTGACTACTGGTCCTTTGTTTTGTAGTTCTGGGGATCTTCATATAAGGGAGGCCCGCGCTTGTGTGTTGGGTTGCCCCATACCTCCTGATCCTAGTGTTCTTACCCCTGGGGGGGCTGGGCTGGGGATACAGGACTTTGGCTCCCTCCCATGTGGCTCTGGGCAGCCCAGGAGTGTCATGGAGGGGTGACGCAAACATTAGTGTCTGAGTTCAGCTGCTTTGTCATTGGGGCAGAGTACATTCTACTTTGACTTGCTGATATCTGCCCTGGGTCCAGGGTCAGCCTGCCTCCCTCAGCCTCATGCACCTTGTAGAAGCTCCCCCACCCCTGATTGCCTTACTTGTCTATTTCCCTGTTGTGACAAGTGGAATTGGCTTGCAAGGACTTGGGGCAGAGCTGTACCAGAGGTCTCAGTACCTAGGAGCTTTGGGGACACATTCACACTCAACCCTTCTAGGCAGCAGCCCTTCCACTGCCAAAAGTTCCTGGGGGGGATGTAAAGTGATCCCCAGCCTTGTGCGATTCTGCCCGAGGCCTCCCCAGACCTAGAAAAAGCCAGAGCTCTTGGCTTCTTTTGACTCTGACCCTCTGTGGCTCTTTGCTTATCTGAGGGTTCACCACAGCTGGAGGCACAGGGCCTTTTCCTCACTGTACAATAAGGAGCTGTGAACTATTGACTGGATAACATCTGTGATGTGGAGACAGAAAACCAAAACGTGAAACTGCGCTGCTACAAAGAAAGCAAAGGGTAAGAGGCCACAGAAAACATAACTGGGCAGAGAGCCAGGATCACGTAAGAGGTGCTGAGAGCCAACACAGGGCGAGACACAAGTCCTGCCTTGCCCTTGTGGCCTTTAGAACCTCTGAGGACCAGTGTACCTGCTAGCAGGCCTGGAGGCTGGTGCTGTAGACTTTGGTGGCAGCCTTTGCAGGTCTTCTGTGATCCTCCTGCTGATGAACCGGAGAAACTGGGAGACAGAAAAAAACAAAGCAGTCGAATGTGAGCAAACGCAAACCTATTGCATAGCAACAACTTCGTGTTTGTTCGTCCTCTTGGTGTGGAGAGAAATGAATGGCAGACATCGAGAGCTTAAGGTGTTGGGCTTCACGTGGATGGGACATGAGTCTA